TTCACAAACCAAACCATAATTTTGAAACCGTATACTAAGGGCTTGTTTGGCATTGTTTTTTGTTTTCAGTTTCTAGTTTTTTTGAAAACCAAAAACCAAAAACAGGAAACAAGAAAAAGGTGTTTTCACTTTTCGGTTGTCAGTTTTCAAAATTATCATGATTTCAATAATTTTGACTAATTTTTGATTAATTATATGATATATATCATATGATTTCAAAAAACAAAAAACCAAAAAACAGAAAACCATAGTGATGTCAAACGAACCCTAAACTTTTGCAGTTTGGTGCGGTTTAGACCAAACTCTGATGACAGGGTAAAGTCGTATCCCCTAATCAAAAGTAATACCTAAATCCTCTAACTAATGTAGATAGGGAAGTAGGGTCGAACTCCACAGGGAAACAAGTCTTTTTACTCCTAATTATTTATTATAATCTAAATTATCTAAGTAACCAATATTTTTGGGAATAAATTCTATACTACGAAGAATAAGTTTAGGGAGGTAAGAAACAATAATAATAAGAAAGCCTAGGGTCACAGGTTCACCAATAATTAATATTCCGGGATAAAACGAAGTGATTAATAATTAACAATGCACAAATAACATGATTAACAGGCTCTCGCAATTTATTAATCAACATAGATCTAACAGGCTCTCGCAATTTACTAGATCTAAGTCCCTATTGAAAATAGCCTTTAATATTAAATTAACATTTGCTCGATTCATCAATTCAATATTGCTAAACATTCACAATCAATTTACATCTGCTCGATTCATAATCTAATTGCAAAGAATTAAAACAATTCAATAAGAAATTATCATGCAATACCAATAATCAATAATAACAAATTATCCGTTCATATTAATTATGGATCCCCATAAACCCTAGAATGAAACTACTCACACATAATCATAGCTAAACTAATCAAATAAATAAAACAAAGCATAATCAAAGAAGTAAGTAAAATAGCTGAAATTAAAAGAGAAGAAATTGTTACCAAAAGAAAACTGGATTAATGGAAGTAATTAAGAACAAAAGTTGAGAGAGAATTTAAGAGAGAGAAAATATTCTAAGTGGAGAGAGAAAGTCAAAAAAAGAAGGTAATAAAAAATTACGTACAAATCTCGTACTTAAACGTTCCCTAAAACAAAAATTAAAACTAACTAATCAGGTCTTGAGAAACCACGCGCCCGATCGGGCCCGCCTTTTTCCTTGCGCTCCTTCTCAGCAGCGTCGCCCGATCGTGCTAGACGCTCGCACGATCGGGCGCGCTATAGGCCACGCACCAGCACCAAGCATGCTGCGCCCGATCGTGCTAATCCTTGCCCGATTGGGCCCTTGCTTCACTTTGAGGCTCGGACTTCGATTGGGCTATTTCTCGACCTAATCCGGATTTCCTCTTCGGGTCTTGAATACTCGGTCCAAATACCTCGGAATCCCGATTACCAAGCCCTTAATCACCGGCTCGATGACTCTAACCGACCTTGGGCTTCAAAGATGGTCGTGCTCTTCTAATTCCCATAGTCGCTCCATGAAAAACTCGAGAAAATGCTCCAAAGGCGCAATTTCCTACAAAACTCAACAAAGACTACGAAAACACAAGAAAACACAAATTAGTAATAAAAGTGGCTCAAAAGAGCCAAAAACACTACTAATTATGACCAAGGGACGAGGGTAAATTACTATATAAAATGGATATATCATTAGGTCCGGTTCATTTGGTCGGGTCTAAATCTACCGCAAGTGTACGGGTCAATTACAGTAAATATAGGGTGAGCAAGGTATCGTATCCACAAGGAGGTCTACTCAAGTACCAAATTAAGAAACTAGAATATTATTTAGACGACGAAAATATGAGAAAAGTACTACTAAAACTATCAACGATATGATTAAAGTTGCAAACAAGTATAAGAAATAGTTCTAGGTTTCGGGTTTCAGCAATTACTCTCTATAATGAAATTAAACTAGTTGTAGGGTTGAACATATATAATGTAACAATGATCGAATTACCAATAGCATGTAATCTCCTCTCCCAAGGTAGAAAACGTATATTTAAATCAAAATTATGTCTACTTCCGTGATCACAACAATTGAAATAAACTCATTAAGAATAGGAATTCAATAAGACCACCCCAAGTGTATAACTATTCCTAAAATTATACTACTTGACGTTTGATAATCCCACGAACTAGTATTGAAAGTTCACTTCCGCTAATAAATCAACACCTTAAACATACAATCAATTGACCAGATTAAAAGTACGAATTAAACAAGATTATCAAATTGCAATCATATAAATAAAACCCAAACAAAGTAATTCAATTCATTAATAGAAATATAAAAGACTACATCCCTAACCTAGAACAAACGAAATTAGCTAGACATAGAAATTAAGATAACACAACTAATTGATGAAGAATTAATATTAAACATATTAAATCAAACCAAAATCAATCAATTGCATAAAGTTAAGGGAAGAAAGAACGCTGCTCCAAGCTCGGTCCAGTCACGGCTCTCGCGAGGTGCTGCTGTTCGTCTGTGTGTCCTCTGCCTTGCTGCGTCTCCGTGTCTTCGTGTGTGTGTGATACTGCCTGCCTCTATCCTCCTTATATCCGTAGTGGTGTTTTGAGGGTTTAGGTTTTCTTCCTGATTATTTTGCCGCAACTCTTTTTCTTTTTAGGAATCTTGAGGTAATGGGTTTTTCAACCCAGTACTATCTCTTTTGTCAAGTGTAGTCCGTGAAAGTGGGAATGTGGGCTTTACTTGCCTTTTTTTTTTTTTTTTTTTATTATTATTATTATTATTATTATTCTTGCAACCTGTAAATGATACAAAACCAAAGACTTTTAGCTCCATTTATCTAATTAAATCACATGATGATATAATTAAAACTTCCTCTGCCATATGAGAACTAAAAGAAAAACAAATCTCATTAATCAATATAACATGAGTAAAATAAGAGCATAATTTAGTAGAAATGATTATTTGAACTTTGCAAAATAAAACTTCAAATTAAGATATAAAATCATTTAAACTATATAGATTATACTCTAAAATATCATTAAAATGATATAATAAAGTATATAAAATATGAACTTATCATCATTTCACCTTAAAAAAAAAATATTTTATAAAATTAATTTCAATTTAGTAAATTAAGTCCATTTTAGTAAAAATCAGTAAAAAAAAATAATAATAAAAAAGAAGTAAAATAATTTCAGTTCACTAAAAATAATTCCAGTTAACCAAAATTTATTTCAGTCTAGTAAAAATAATTTAAGGGTCTATTCTCTTCAAATTATTTTCAGTTCAGTTCTGCTCCAATTATTTCAGTTCAGTTTTTAATAAACTTCTCTCATAAAATATTCAATTCATTTTTAATAAATTCAATTCAGCTCATTTTAATCGAGGCATGATTGACCACTACTAGGTATGAACTCCTTTGGTCCATACCTAGGGGCAAAAATGTGCTTTCAAGTAGATATTTATACAGTAATTATTTTGTTACCAGCTGTAAAAAAAATACAATCTCTCCTCTTTCCCCCCTCTCTCCTCTTTCTCCACCGGAATTCTCACCGGAAACCTTTTTTTTTAAAAAAAAAAATTCTCTCCTCTTTTCCTTTGTAATTCGAAGGCCTCAAGGTTAGTTTGTATTTCGACCAGAATTTTCCGGAAAATCAATTTGAAAACCTTTAAGTGAGAGGAGAGAGAAATCACCATCACCATCATCATCTTCGTCTTCATCAACAACAATGCCGGTGGGTCACTACATCGTCCTCACCACCACCACTATCGAATATGTAATAATAATGTCCAGAGCTAAAATAACAGTATAAAATCATATAATAACAGTTTATAAATCAACCATAGTAGTATAAAAATTAATAACAACAATATAGTCAAACCCACAATAATCATATACCCAAAAAGTATACAAAACAATTCAACAATAACGGTATACAAATAAAAATTAATAGTATACAAAATAAAAAAACAGTATTCATGTGAAAGATAACGGAGCACCAACAAACAATTAATGTTGTCATCTTCAACTCCTTCACATCCAAATTGTTTCGAACTTCGACAACACCAAACAAAGAACTCACCATTTTTCATGGAGAAAGTCGTAAATTTGCACACCGGTGGTGAATTCATCGTCTCTCGTGACCAAAGTAACAAGATGTTTTAAAGACCTTGTAAATCCTTCGCCGCCCTCCAATTATACTACCTTTTATCAACCACAAAATTTGCTGCTCCGATCCGGCGTCGGTCGTTTTTTCACCAACAACAAAGAGGTGAAAGTAACTTCTCTCTCCTCCTTATCCTTTTTTAACCCATCCCTCGTTTTCATTTTATCCCCCTATTTTATTTTACCTTTTTTTAATTCACAAATATTATTTTTTTATTCAGGTATTGGACAGGGGGTCCAATACCGGGTAACGGACTATAGTTTCTCCATTTCAATCAATCAAAACAGGCTTAAGTTTAACATGGTAAAGTAAACAGAATGTAAAATGTTACGGAGTACTTTGTATTACGAAACGAAGGTTGCAACAAAATCCTCAAAAGGCGAAACCACGGCAGAAAGACTTGCGTGGACCTGGTTCACAATAATATTATTGTGGACCCGAGGTTTACACACACGCAACTGACATTATTTTGGATATAGTGACCCTTATTTTGAACATAGTAACCTTATTTTTAACATAGTAACCTTAATTAAAACTTGTATAACATTTAATGTTATTGTGAATTTAAAATACGACGTTATGACCCTAATTTTAACGAAGTGACCTTTATTATTCATATTGAATACTTCATCAAAAAGATTAACCTCTTATCCAAAATGACTTTTATTTCTAGTGACCTTTTTCATTATTAATAAAACAACTCTAATTTCTCTAATGATAGTGGTCCGTAATAAATTAGGTTGAAGCAGGTCCATTTAAAAATTTGTAAAACCGCGGTCCTTAACCTCCCAATACTCCCGTGATGGAAGATGAGAAATAGAGAATGAGAGACGCAAAACAATAGAGAAAATAGGAATATTAGGATGAACCTCTGTTCTCTCACTTCTCCAAACCCCTGCAACACCACCATTTCCACCACCATCAAAAATGGCGGATCACCAAAAAGCTTCACCAACAACCATCCTCAAAATCCACTCAATTGGCCCAAAAATCCTTCATTTGGAGCCGCCATAACTGGTGCTGCACTCTCCTTCACTCTCTTACTATCTCCTCCTCTTTCAATTGCTGCTGATTCTCCTCTTCTCGATCAAACTTCGTCGTTGTCGGATGATGCGTATTGTCGCGAAGATGAGAGAGAATTTGGAGCTGAAATGGAGTTTTCGGCGCCGAAATTGAAGACGAATGAGGGTATTGTGGAGGAAGCTTGGGAGATTGTTAATGAAAGTTTTCTTGATACTGGTCGTAGTCGTTGGTCTCCGGAGTCTTGGCTTGTAATACCTTCTTCTCTCTCTAATTTGATTATGATTATGGTTGTGATTATTGATTTATATTGGTTTTACTCATAATTTGATGAAATAATTGCATGAATTTTCAATTATAGAGTGAACTTGTTATGAATTGAGTTGAGATTATGATTATGATGATTGATTTTTATTAGTTTTTTCACATTTTGATAAGTAGGAGTTTGATGCGAATGGTTGTTGGATCCTTCATGTTTAGACTTGGGGAGTATGCTATGGCTATCAAATTTTATAATAATGCTTGTTAGTTTCGTTCCCTCCACTAGCTGTACATGCTCTCTCAAGCATATTTGTCGTTTGCGTGCAGCGCAAGAAGGAAGACATATTGCGCACTTCTATTAAGACTAGATCAAAGGCTCATAATGTTGTTCAAAAAATGCTGGCAAGCTTGGGAGATCCTTACACACGTTTTTTGTCACCAGAAGAGGTAGTCACTAATCAAATTTAAGTATGTTTGTATATTACTCCGCTAAAAAATTGTTGCTATTAATTAAGTAGATTAATAGTAGGTTCTTCCAGCCCGACATAGATGTACTATCTGTTTGGTGTCTGATGTTCAGTTAACTATTCTGATGATATGACTTATTGATTAAATGTGTTTGCAACTCTTAGCACCTAGCAGTATTTGGTGTGCTAGGTACATTTCAGAGCTTTAATATTCAAATGTACTCGATTTTGTAGACTTTTCTTGCAATACGTATTAGTGTATTACCCCTACCGCCTTGATTATTACTCGATTTTGTTGTCTAATTCCCTATTGCCATTTGTCCTGCTTTCCAATCCCTACCACCTTGATTATTGTTCAACATTTTCCAATATTGTGATCAGTGTTGGTTGCACTTCTACAAAAATTTTTAGATTACAGTTGTTATTATGGTGTATAGTTCTAGTGGATTAATAGTAGGTCTTAACTCACGCCTGCTGTAGTTTATGTTTCATGGCATGTGAATCGTTGATGAATGAAAGTTCTCGAAGATGGCAAGATATGACATGACTGGCATTGGGCTAAATCTCAGGGAGATTCCTGCTAGCAATGGAAGTGTCAAATTGAAGGTTCTTGGACTCGTATTGGATGGGCCTGCTCAAACTGCTGGAATTAGACAGGTAACTAGAACTATGGTGCGGTGCTTTCTTTTAAACATATATTGTTATCTATTTGGCTATAAAGTTGCTAAATAGGCTTTAGAGTTTTCTGTATTAAATAGATTATTGCCATAAAGTATTGGCTGAGTAGGATTTTTACTGTGCGTCAATAATCAATTGGCACTCTAGCCATTAGACTAGATTTGAGAGTTAATTGGTATCGGAGCAGATTAACTTGTTGGAACATTTTATTGATTTAGCCTTTTGTTCAAATGACAGAGATTCTCTTTTCATGAGGTACAAAGCGCTTGTGGGTTGTGGTGAACTTCCAGTCCAAAGTTTTGCAGTGAGGAAGGGGAGAGGGGGGGGGGGGAATCCTGTTCTCACTATTTGCATAAGCTTTTGGCCAAGTTACCTCCTTGTTTTATCCTTTTATGAGTATTGTCTATTATGATCAAATCAGTTTGATCTTACAACTTTTGCTTGCTGATTCTTTTTTTAATATTAGATGGAGTATAAGTTTGAAACACTGAGAAATACAAGTAACATTGAACCAGGCATGAAAAAAGGAAGAACTACCTTCTGTACATGAAGTCTTGATGGTTTCTTCTGAAGTTGTAAAGTAGCTTTATAGTTCATAAAGCCTTGTTGCTGTTTTTATTTCTTTTAAGTGTTTTTTTAATAATGTTGTGCTGCTCATCGGTCCAAAATGAGAGAAAGCATTAAGTTACATTTTTTTTTGGATAAATCCAATTTTAGGCAGTCTACTAAACAGTCCCACCATTCGATTAACTAAGTATAATCCCATCTATCTTCACTTTCTTTTATCATTATTTCCCACTGTCTTTCTTATAGGGTGATGAAATCTTATCTGTTGACGGGGAGGATGTGAGAGGCAAATCAGCTTTTGAAGTATCATCAAAGTTGCAAGGTCCCAGTGAAACTTTTGTAACAGTTGAGGTGATATTTCTGTGTTAACCCTCTAAATGCTATGTCTGAAACCTTCAGTAACTGTATCATCTTTTATCTGACCTTATGAATTATGAAAATCATTTTTAGGTCAAGCATGGAAATTGCGGTCCAGTTCAGTCCGTCAAAGTTCAGAGGCAGATGGTTGCTAGACCTCCAGTGTTCTACCGATTGGAGAAAATTGACAATGGTGCAACCTCTGTTGGATATGTGCGACTAAAGGAGTTTAATGCGCTGGCCAGAAAAGATATAGTGACAGGTAACTATTAATAGTTAGCTGTGATAGATGGAGAGATTTGAGATAATTCAAAAATAAGTTTCAATCCAGTTAAAATGTTGCCATATACCTATATGTATGTTTGGCTTACCCTTGGCTAGTAAAGGCCATAATTATAATGTCTCCTTGAGCCCTTTAGAAAGTGTTTGTTTTGGAAGAAACAGTGATAATTTATATCCTTTTTTTTTTTTTTTTGGTGGGGGTGAGGGTAGGGTGTTAGTTATGTAACCTAGTAGGCTTGTAGTAATTAGCCTAACAGAAATGGTACATCAGTTCATATGCTGTACCAGACCAGCTAGTATGTTTTTTATTTATACTTTATACTCCCTCCGTTCCTAAATGTTTTTTACGTATCCATTTAGGGTGTTCCTTTTTATTCTTTACATTTAGTATCTTTCCTATTTTGGTCATAAATTTTGGACAAAATTACCCTTGTTTTACAATTTTTTTTACTCAAAAGTCCTTACTTTTCCATGTGCTATTGTACTTTTTGTACTATTTTAATAGTTTTTCAACATTTATTATTACTTTCCCTCTCCGCTCTCCTCTAAGATTGTATTTTTCAATAAAAGTGTACTTTCAATCATTGAAATATTCCAATATACCTTAACTTTACACAATTTCTTAATAACCGCGCATAATTCCAAACGTAAAAAACATTAGGGAACGGAGGGAGTAGTATTTTAAAATTTTAAAAAACTTAAGAAAACTACCTTTTGTACTCTCTATGTTCCAAAATAATTGCAACACTTCTCTTTCTAAGAAATTTCATAGTAATTGTAACATTATTTGGCTAATGAGTTCTCTTTATTTCTCTCCAAATCACCCGGGTTCCTCTTTTTATCCCTTGCCTCATGGGTTTCTTAAAACTTGTGCCTCTTCCCATCTTTTTTGCACAGTTAATGTAGAAAACATAGGTTGTCAAAAAGTTAGTCCGCCAAATTATGGTGCTATGAATTTAGTTGCAATTTAGCCGGGAATCAATAGGGTAATTTGTCATTTTTGTCATTTCACCGGGAAAATGAGTAAATCAAGCATTTATACTCCATTTTCCATGTGTGAATTCTAAATACTCCTGAAAAAAATTATTTGTGATGCACTCGTTATGCTTTTGTGTTTAGCCTTCCAAGCTATATAATTAGTTCTATACTTAATGGAGTTAACTAGGTTTGTTCATCGTTTCAAGATCGGACCAGACCGAAGACCAACAATTTGAAATTCAAGACTGGACTAATTGTGTTAGGATCACGCCAATTAAACCAGCCAAAACCTATAACGGACCGGTTATAGAATATCTCAAAGTATAATGCAACACTTTCCTAAAACAATAGTTTTTTTTAAATGCAATACTTCCTCAATTGGAAATATACTACACTTTTTTTTTTTAATTTTATTTATTATTTTTTTTTTATCACTTCTCTTCTCTCACATCTCTTATTTTTAAATAAACTATTAACCCACTATCCTTTTTAATTTGATTCTTTAATAAACCCCACTTACATAATATTTTAACAAATTTAAATTCAACCATTTAAAACTCCATATCGGTCAGAGTGTTGAATTGAGAAGGAAAAAAAAATGGAGGGAGTATATTCCTTACATATTGAAGGTAATTCATACATTCTAGAGGTTCTTATGCATGATATTAAGCAAAAAAAGCAAATTCTACACTAGACTAGTTTTTTGGAGGATTTGGATCGAACTAGATCGAAGACCGTAAAATTTAAATTTTCGGCCCAGATATTGGACCAGTTCCCTTTGATCCAGTCTTCCGAGACTAGTCCAGTCTGGGTTTTGGACACCCTTGGGCTAAACTATGGCAATTTTCTGTCAAGTTGTGTTGGTTGAAAGCTTAACGAGAATATTTTTCCTATTAAATTTCCAGAAGCTTTATCTTAAGACCTCTAGATACATATGTTTTATTTTACAAGAGCTTTATATGCTGTCTCAAATCACATGTGATTGCATCTCTCCAACATATTTATCTCATGATGCTTAGGGTATTTATATAAGGAAGCTGTTAACTTGAATTGCTAATATAATTTCCTCAGTTCTTTTCAAATTGCAACATAAAGAGGTACACTTATTAAGGAACCTATGAGATGAGTAGAGAGATAAGCGATGGGGCCATGTGATGAAGAGTGGGATAACCAATGGGATCCATGTGATGAGGAGAGAGATAGAGAACTCATAGACAAAAAGTAATGTTCAATTATTTTTTATTTTCTTAAAAGGAAAGTGTTGCAATGAAAAATGAATGGAGGAAGTACATGTTTGTGTTTATATAGGTAGGTTTTTTTTTATTTATTAAACGTGAAACATATAGCTCCAACTTTTAGTTTTTTTTATTGTCTGAGGTATCACAACTCACATATAATCTTGCACAGCAATGAAGCGCCTCCAAGACCTAGGTGCTTCATGTTTTGTTCTGGATCTAAGAGACAATTTTGGTGGCCTAGTACAGGTATATGCCACATTAATGTTCATGCCCTACGTGCCTTGATGTTAATGTTCATATGTATCTGCAAACATTTCAATTAGCAATGTTTTGGATTGTTTGTGGCTTGAACCTGATTTGCTTCTGCAAGATTAATTTTGTGACTAGTTAAACTTAGTTCCCTGAACTTTTCCCTCAGGGGACAACATGACTTAAGACATTTTCTCAGTGACTCCTGATGTCGAAACTCAATGTAGGATTGTTGGGAGAGATTGCCTTCTTTGGCTCTTTTCTATGGGAGTAATATTGTAAAGTCTAGGTTCACATAGGAAACGTGCTACGAAAGTGAACCAAGTTTCTTGCAAAATATTTATATTTCCTTGAAAATCTTGTTCTTAATTTTTTGTAATTTTAATTATTTTTGGAAGATTTGACCAAAAAGGAAAGGACTTATATCAAGAGCAAAGCTTGACTAATGCATTGCTTTGATATTTTTCACATATCCCATGTGTGACAACCATCAGAATTGATTTCTTGATGAAAGTTTTATCGTTATGCTACTTAAGCAGACTATTAGTAATAGTGATGCTGTTACTGACTGGAGCTACTAGGCAGCATGGTGCAAAATATGGCTACTTTGTTTCAGGTAGTCTCTATTGTAAAGGATATTTATAATGTTCCAACCCCAAATCGCCCATTGTTAAATTTACATCCCATGTTTCTTAAAAACATGCTATTCAAAAATATATTGAAAGATTCTGTACGTCTCCCAAATTTGGCTCTAAGCCTTTAATAGTCTACTCTAACTATTAGAACTACTCTTAACCGCGAACAATCATGACACGGGTTAATTGTCAAAAAAAATAAAAAATAAAAGTCGTGACACGGGTTTGCAATCAACAAAACATTTCTGTTCCTGCGATCTCGTCCACAATTGTATATCAAACCATGCTAGGTAGTTAACTCTTCTTAAGTCTTTTAGCAGTTCCAAGTGTCAAAGCCCCTCGTCCTAGGTCCAGCCCTTATACCTAGGGGTGAGTGTAGCAGGGTACCCTGTACAAACCCTTGGAACCGGAACCGGAACCGGAACCGGAACCTGTTACAACAAGTTCCTAATTTTATTACCCGTTCCGGTTCCGGAACCGGGTACCCTGTCTTTCAAAGTAAGCTTAATTGTTCCAAAATTACTAAATTGTTTCAAAGTTATAAAAAAAAAGGATGTTTACCATAAATTAAAAGCTTACAAATAACAATCCAACACTAATTGTCTACTGTCTAGTATATTTAATACAAATACTTAACTTATATGATAAAAATACAAATTTTATTACACAATCTCATATTCGCATCTTGAATCTTGATAGCCCAGGAAGTAAGACTTTTGATACCTACATAGCATAAGAACAAATTAAGTATATTATTACAATTAATAATTTTGGCAGTAAGATAAAAGTAGAGTAATATAAAGAAAATAACAAAGTAAAATTACAAGTTAGATTACTAAGGGCCAGGCTAAGCAAGCGGGATCCGGGCGCTAGGACTTGTCGTAAGAAAATTCGGAAATGAAAGAAGTCTACCGGAAGCCCTTGGTACTTGTCTGATCAATCACACTGATAGCTTCCTTAACGCTTGTACAGGAGCAACCTTAATAATTTTTGCCAACATCTTCATTTAGTTGTGTAATACAACTATCACTTAAATATGAAAATAATAAAAAAAAAGCATGAATTCATTAACTTATATATATACTTATCATATGAATTGATAAAAGATATGCATTATAATTAAAGTACTACCTTCTTCATATTTCTCAACATCTTCTAACAATTGCTCAATGTCCACACTTATGTCAGAAGCTCTCAACCAATCTTGAGCACAAATCAGAACTTCAACAATTTTTGGACCTAAACTACTTCGAAACTGATCAAGGACCCGACCTGACGTACTAAAAGCCGACTCACTTGAAACTGTCGAAACTGGAATAGCAAGAATATCCTTTGCCATCATGCCCAAAACTTTGTATGTATCACTTTTGAGACTCCACCATTTTAAAATATCAAAAGATTCATCATCTCTTTTTTCAAGTGGTGCTTCAAGATACAAGTCTAACTCAGATTTTCCACCAACTTCATCAACATCTTCTACATCAAACTCATCATACAACTTTTTCATGTTTACATTATTCACCGCTCCCATTTGATCATTACCATTAGCATCCATGGTGAAGGAAGTGGAACAATGAGCAGCATTTTGTGAAGTAGAAGACACAGCATAATTGGCAAATAAACGATTTAACACATCATGTATATGATTATATGTATCATCCACCTTTCTAGAGTCATGAGGATAAAGTTTCTTTAGAGAGAACTAGACAAACTTCAATTTATAACGTGGATCAAGAATAACCGCAATTAACACCATGACATTTGTTTTCCCCAAATCTCCATAATACTTCTCAAATTTCTCTCTCATTTGACTACTCATCAAACATAACTCAAGATCATCACTGCTTTCCCACTCTAACAAAGAAGTAAGTATGGCCAACACTTCATGAAAATGCATATTGGAAGTCACATATAAACTACCGGACATTCTTTTAGTAGCTTCATAAAACCGCTTGTGACAAATTGATAAACCTTTGGCTTTCGCCCAATCATCTAAACTAGGAACACCATCTTTAAGCTCTTTTGCAAAATCAACACCATCCTCATTATATCGATCAAAGACTTTTTCATATTTCAATGCACTTTCCAACATTAGATAAGTAGAATTCCATCGAGTGGACACATCAAGACAAACTGAACCTTTGTGGAGAACTTTGACACGTTTAGCACATTCATTAAATAATTTAGCCCTAGCGGGAGAGCTCCTAACATATCTTACAGCACCACAAATACTACTAATTGTGTTTTTTACTTTTGACAAACCATCACGCACAATCAAATTAAGGACATGTGCAACACATCTCATGTGAAAAAATTCACCTCCAAGGACAAGTTTATCAGACAATTTTTTCCTTAAATGACTAATAGCCACATCGTTCGAGCTAGCATTATCAACTGTGACACATGATATCTTTTCCTCAATGCCCCATTCAAGTATACAAGTCTCTACAACCTTTCCAATTTCTTTGCCTTTATGACCATCCATCATTTGAAAATTTAAAATTCTCTTGTGTAATTTCCAGGAATCATCAATAAAATGTGCCGTCAAACACAAGTAATTAAAATTCTGAATTGAAGTCCAACAGTCAATTGTGAGAGCAACTCTTGATTTTAAGCCTTTTAAAGTATTCTTTAATTGTTCTCTCTCACATATATACAACTTCTTACAGTCTCTAGCAATTGTAAAACGTGAAGGAACAACAAATTGTGGACAAGTAACACTACAAAAGTACTTAAACCCTTCACACTCATCAAAAGAAAATGGTTGTTCATCAACTATTATCATTTTAGCAAGAGCAAGTCTAGAGGCATTTTGATCAAATTCCCAATTAGAAATGGTTGTTGTTTCACTCTGAGCACTCCTAAAAACAGAGTTTCTGTTTTTTATCAACATTTTTAGGATGTTTTGGACATGTATTCAAATGTTTCTTCATTGATGAAGTGCCATTACTCACATTATAAGACAATATTCCATCACAATACTTGCATTTAACTTGAACAACTTTACCCGTTTCTAGATCTCTTACATCCCAATAATGGTGCCAAACCTCTGACTTTCGCTTATCACCAGCCTTTTTGCTTGTTGTTCTCTTGCTTGAAGCTCCATCTTCTTTGCTTTCACTATCCATTTATAATGGCTATCAAAAAAAAAAAAAAAATCAGAAAATAGAAGAAAAAACGCAGCAATAAGGATTAAATAAGAATTAAAAGTTTAAATAAGAAGAAGAATTAATTTTAGGGAAGGAGATCATACATAAATGATAGATTACATACCAATATAGGAGGGTTTTGTAGTAGATGACGGCTGATGAAAATGAGAAATGAGAATGTGCTTAGGGTTTTTGTTTACTTTTAGGCTTACTTATATTTGTAATTTTGATATTGGGCTTGCATATTTGGGCTTCAATTACAGGTTCCGGTTCCGGTTCCGGGTACAAAATTTTATTACCCGGAACCTGCTCTACAGGTTAGCGGTTCCGAGCAGGTTCCAGATCCGGTTCAGGGTACCTTGAATTTTTGCTCACCCCTACTTATACCTATCACAGCTTGGAACATCTTGTAAACGAAAACTGAAATTTTTGGAGATCATTGCCAATTGTCATTATTTTAAGTAGGTGAGGTTTTGAAGTAGAGCTAAAAAGGGATTTGTAAACAAGATCTTTTCTTAAGGGTGACTGGTGGAAACCTGTATGAAATGTGAAGGACCTCTAACTAGGCCATGATTGGGGTGAGGGATAACGTAAGTAGGCAGTAGCATTACCCCTTGAATTGCAGTAATAGCGTCTTCTATAGATCCTTGATTGCGGAGCTGATAGACTGATCAATTACTAAACTATATAATTAAAGAATGCGCTAGTGAATTGGCTCACTGCAAACTGTGTTATAGTATGTGCAAACAAGAACCTGAACTCTAGTGCTCCATCACTACCAGGGACTTATTTGTTAGGCCAAGTAATGAATTATGCTAACCATTATATTCTAATTCATTTTATCAACTGTAATTCACAGTGGAAAGTGTGAATTCTGAGTCTTTTTCTACGTTTTCCGGACTTGGCAAAATGTCTCACATACCTGAATATGAAATCCACGTCGGAACCTTCATTTGTCGCTTAAACTTATCTGGATCCACTGATTTCTTCAATGGTGTACCTTATGACATTTTTATACTCTCAAATGGTGAGCAATTGTGCAATTGGCATGTCATCAAGCTTAAAATTAACAATACTAGATAAGAAAGGGAAGGGGATTTAGCTCAACCTTGTTAGGCGTAGTATTCTCTTCAAATTCCTTCCATTTTAAGACCTCTTTAACAAAGTTTTCAACCAGTGAGGCACATGCCTTTTCAAGTAGCCTTTTGTACCCCCTTAGTCCTTGGTCTCCTAAGCGATGTTCAACCCCCATCAAAATTGTCTTAAGTGAATGATGAGGATTCTTTGACAACTTTATGTTGTATCACCTCCTCTAAATAGTCTCCCATAGGAGTTCCCATGGAATTTCAAAGTGAATACTCCATCTTTTCATCACCGCTTTAAATGTGATTTTCTCATTCTTCATGTCAATTGTAGTTCCATGGGTGGCTAAAAAGGGTCTCTGGTCTCCCAAAAATGTTGGGAATTTGTGCATCTTCTTCCATCTTCACAACCACCAAATCACATGGGATGAATAATTTTTAGAGAGGTACATCATTAAGTATACAAGAGGAAATTTTACTATTTGGTCCACCGATTTAAGGGACATATGTATGGGCTTTAGTTCGTACAAATCACATGGGCTTTAGCCTCTTTTTACTTCCTTGATTACATGCATTAGCCTTGCTTTTAAGATCAATAGGAATTAGATTATTTGAACCTGTTTGTTGAGTGTGTATGCAATGAAGAAAACTAAAAACAAAAGATCAAATGACAAGGAATAGTAGCTGAAGCAACTAGCTAATATAAAGTTTAGTAAGAATAAGTCAAAAATATCTTATCTAAATATATCATTAGTTTCTGGTAACGGTGCCAAAATTTGAAAGGCGTGTCACATACCTAACTAAAATAACTTGGGTCATCCATTGAGGAATTTAAAGAAATGTATCATGCAATTAATCATATTAGGGCTTTGCTTAACCCCAGGTTGGGTGACTACCAAAACATATTTGTGAAATCAAATGCAAGGTCTACCGTGGAAACCATGATTAGCAATGGAAATAATAATAAAAGATAGAAATATTATAAATACAGATGCTAAAAACATCCAGAAATTATTATTGAAGAACAAAGCTTGAAACTAGGGTTCTAAAACTAAGAGAGAAACTAGGGTTCTAAAACTAAGAGAATTTTTAAATTATGTCTAAATGTCTCATATTCGGGCTTTACAGAGGTTTTAATAGCCTAATGCTAAATTTATTGAAAAATAAGGAAAATTATCATCTTTGAAACTTTGCTCACCTAAAGCTTAAAAACTCCTTGAAAAAATCTACTGCGGTAAAGAATTTGGTATTGCCTGATCAACCTGGGTAAACCTACTTGATCGAGCACGCAGAATTACAAAAGTAGTATTGCATGGTTTGGCCTGTAAACTTGCCTGACCTCATTGGCCAACTTTGCTCAGTCGGGCAGACCAAGAAATATTCCATCTGTCCTATTCAACCTCTTGTGGCAATATTCAGTTGTAGAAAACAACAGAAAATCCTCTCAATCCTACAAAACTTAAATAAAAGTTCAAGCCACATTAAATAAGAATTTGCTAGTAAAAATTGGCTCCAAAGAGCTCAAATATGCAAGTGAATAGCCAAAAAATGGTTAAAAAATATGTACCATAAACTGAACATATCAACACCTTCTGTCCATTTTTGTGGCCTTGATATAAATCTTGCTGGTATTGCATGCTGTATGCTTGTTTTGATGCCCTTTGACGTTAAAGTGTTGAATAATCCTGCTACTTTTGTGTGAAAAGGTTGTAGGGCCACTAGCCTGCTATCTTCTTTTATTGTTGAAATCAGTTTCATGATTCTTACTTTTTATTGCTCACTTCCTTGTTATTGTTTGCATGAGTTCAATTATTTAACTGAAATTGTTAGGACCCTAGAAGTTAGGCATCTGCTGTTGTAAGATTTTTATAGTTTAACCACAGCTTGCTGGACACTTAAAGGATCTCCGAAACACATTCATTTGCTTGAAATTGGGCATGATAGTGTTCCTTTTAGTACATTCGTAAGAATAATTTATATATTTCTCGTAATTTCAAACATAAATTAAATCTTTTTATGTAGTGAATTCTATGTTTTTTTTTTGGCAGGCTGGGATAGAAATTGCAAAGCTGTTTCTGAATGAGGGGGATACGGTATGGTATTGCTATCATTTAAGCTTGCCTAATGCACTTTTGTCCTCTTTATTCATCTTCTTCCCCCCTTTCTTTTGTTTGTCCCACTTTTTTCTCTTGTGAAGCATGATCTTAAGAATTTAGACATTGATCTACATATATTACCATGTCAGCAATATATTACCATATCAGCAAGTGGTAATTTATAATAATACTGAGACATTGATCTTTAGTCTGTTTTTTTTTTTTTTTTTTTTTTTTTTTCTCCTTTTTTTCTGAAAAGAATTCAAATATCATTAAATGACAAGAAAATGAAAGAAAAGAGATTTCATGTAACGAGAAATGAAAAGCATATCCTCCCATGAATGAACGAATATCCCCACCCCCTCAAAAGAAAAAATAATTAAAATTTTAAATATGTGCAATGGAGTAATACTGTGCACTGAGAATGAGAATAGCAGCTAAGCAGATTCAAGTGAGAATCGGAACTGCACAGATCCAAGTGGTAATTAATTTTGTTGTTACCATGACAATTAGCACACACCTTAAAAGCCTTCTTGGATACAGCTGATTGATGTTATGAGATAGTACAGTCCATATATCAACTCTAACCTTAGTGGGAAGTCTTGGAACTTTTATTATTTTAAGTTCAGTTGCAATTAGAACATGGCAGCATTTTCCGTGATGGGCCTGGAACTTTGCAGAGCAGACACTATTCCATTTAGGATATGAGCATATTATCCCTACCAGAGAAAAAAAATTCCATTTAGTATATGAGCATATTATCCCTACCAGAGGAAAAAAAAAAAATGAAAAATAGGGTGACTGCATGAGGAAAATGAAGAAACTCACAAATAAAATGATAATCAAGCAACTAGTTTTCGATTGTAGATCATATCATAACACCTTGAAGAAAAGTGCAGTTCATATTGTAACAAAAGTACGCAAGTCGTCAAGAAATTCATGAAACTGATGGTCATATATTGAATGTATTGTGTAATCCAGTTTTGTGTTGATGATTAGTCATATACGCATATGTTTTGGAGTGGATTGGGGGGAGACAAATGCCAACAATTTGTGTTCTGAAGGCGTAGAAAATCAGCAATTGATTTTTTTTTTTTTGAATTCATGAAACATGCTGTAAAACTAGTACAATAGTTACATGGAGAGAATTTAAGGTACAAAGTGGATTATAAAGGGGAAAAAGGTGTTGTATATTTAGTTGTCTTGAAGATTGTCATAGTCCCGCTGAAAGTGATTATGTTTGCCCAGCAGATTTAGACTTGAGTCAATAGCTTGGTTTTCGATTGAGGGAACTGTAGCACTTTAGTTATTTTTCTTTGTTGGTGTTTAAATTAACATAACCTATACGTTGGTGAAGGAATCTTACTTGAGCATATGGCTTGCTTGCCCTGATTATGCCAGGTTTGTCCTCCACAAGCCATGGCATGATTCTATCCTGGGGTTAGATGATCGTATTGGGTCCTTACAATTTAACGAAGTTAGATAACTATTTAAAATAGTAATTCATCAATGTTATGATTTCAGGACACTTATTGGTAGTTGGTTTATTATACTTCTCAGGCCTGCTCACATTAAAAAGGCAAAATTTGCTTCCTGATGAGATCTACAGGGCATTGGTTTTGTTTATTTAGTTTTCCACTTTATGGCTTGTTTTATTGAGTCAAATAATTCTGGTACCCATTAATTCTAAATGAGTTTTAAAATTCAGACAATATTGTGCTCAAATTCAAAAAGTTAGGGTCGTATTCATATTTCAGGTCTTTTTGACAGGTCTGTGAACAAGTGAACAACCACTTATATGTTTGCTCAATTGTCTTACGAACAGGTGATTTATACTGCTGGAAGGGATCTGTCTCAGAATGCTTTTGTGGCAGAGTCTCCACCATTGGTCACAGCACCTGTCATGGTATGATTCATCATCTAATATGTGTGAAATTAGTTCACGTGGAATACTATTTTTTTTATTTTTATTTTTTTTTTAATTTTTTAATTTTTTATAATAGTACTTTTGTTAGAAATCTCCACATAGTTATTGTTATTGGTGCTGACCCTTGTGCCCACTCAAAAGGCTTCTGTTCTATGCAGCATCTTTCATGGCTTTGCAATGAATGTTTACTTGTATGCAATAAATTAATAGAAGGAAAATAGAAGCAAAAAAGAACAAAAAAGTTTAGAGTTAATTGGCTTGGACTTAACAATCCTGTATAAAAGTTGATGTTTTACTACATTAATTGTAACATGTGCTGGATAGACAATTGTTACCAATAGTTTTAGTGGCTTAGCATTGATTATGTTGATACTTAGGCCTTTTATCTTCACCAGATTGTTGAAATGAAAAAAACTTGTGATTAAACTGAATTTTTACAGATTCACTGTTGCAATTTTTTGTTTGGAGTTGCTGATTCTTAGTGAACAAAACTGATTTAAGTTGAATGTTATTAGATATTGTTTATTAAGGTGAGGAGAAGCCTTGGTAAATAGTGATAATAGTCTATCATGAGAAAGTTAAAAAAAAAAAAAATTCTTGATGCAACCTTTCTTAATTGAGGGCTGATTAAAATCTTCCTGCCTCTAAGTAGCCTCAAATTATTTTGATTATCTGTTTAGATTAGCTAAAAAATGGAAGAAACTTACGGAAAATTTTACACACTTATCTTTGGTTTTTCGGTTTACTGTAATATGCAGGTTTTGGTGAACCATAACACTGCAAGTGCCAGTGAAATAGTAAGCCCCTCATTGCTAGTACATCTGATAATGACAATTATCTGCTGCAGTTTCTTAACTCCTGCATTGGCACAGGTGGCATCTGCTCTTCATGATAATTGCAAAGCTGTTCTGGTGGGAGAAAAAACCTATGGCAAGGTTTGAATTCCTATATCTTTGTTTCCTGTGCTGTAACCTCTTTTTACTTATTCCTTGGCGGCTTTGTTTTATAACATGGCTAGTCTTCCATAGATGGATTTAACAAGATGATTGAACAATATTATGGGCAGGGTCTCATTCAATCAGTTTTTGAGCTTCATGATGGATCTGGCGTGGTTGTCACAATAGGGAAGTATGTAACACCTCGCCACTTGGATATCAATGGGAATGGAATTGAGCCGGACTTCTCTGACATCCCACGTGAGATTTTCTTTTCATTATTTGTTTTTTGGTCTTTTTGAAAATATCATTTTTGGTACTTGCCTTAAAGTGAAGCTTCTCACTTCATTCTTGGTTCAGGATGGAGTGATGTGACAAAATCTCTTTCTACTTGCAATCGATTGATAGAGGGATGATTGAAGCAAACCAATCTTGTTTGTTGTAAGCATCTCTATCTACGAAGTATTTGCAATTGTAATCCTCTATAAAAATTGTCTTGCCAATCTGCTGATGTAATTGGCCATTGTTTTGTACTCGGGGACTTGTCATGTAGCCATGAAGTTCTATTGATTTTACTGCTTCCTGATTTGATTTTCTTACGACAAATTCTGGTGCTGGATATGATTCGCCGATACAATTTTTTTTCTTAATCTTATGGAGGTAACATAAGTAACATGAGTTAGGATCCCCTCATTTTGAGTTCAGCTTAAGCTTGGCATAGTCGATTGAAAGTGCTCCTCTTGTATTTTTTATTTTTACTTGTAATTAATGTATGTGTATTCACCAAAACAATCTTGTACCGCGAATTGCTACTCAAATGAACCTTTTATATAGAATGATTTTGATGGCAGGTAGTTTGATTGCAATTAGATCTCTAAATTCTGTTTATCCCTTCCCCAATTTTTGTTTTAACAATTCGTTTAAATTCGGGCATGTACTTACAAAGCAATCATTCGGGATGTACTTATTAAGGCTCCCCATCTATTGTAGATGGCCTTGGTATGTTATTTGAAGCTTAGTCGTTAAGACCAACTTATTTACCTAAAATCAAATACCTCTATATGAATAACCTCTAGTAATATGCATCAGTTGAACAGAAAGCTATTTCCCCAAAATTGATACAGAAAATCCTTTGTAAGGAGCATATATTGTAACATTGGCAAACAATAATACAATGTGTTACCACCTAATAATATTATAGCAACAGACAACAGTCAATCTTTAGTATTACAATGTTAGCAGTATGTTAACTATCTTCCTTTATGATATGATATGATGCAAATGTATAGAGTTGCATTTTTTTTTAAAATTATAAGAGATAAGGAGATAGTAAAACTTCATGTATAAAATGTCACCTTATTTCTTATACTCGATTAATTTTTTTTTTTAAAAATCGAGTATAAGTATAAGGTGACATTTTCCGTCTTATGATATAAGAGACTATTTCATGCTAGAAAATATCAATACCCGTAATCCTAAAAGCTTCCATTCTAATGTTTGATACATCGTACATTGAAGAAAGATTCATTTGAGATTGCAGTAAGAGAATTAAAATTAGAGTGTATGCTACGATTGCAGTAGCAAGTAGAATTGGCAGATCCATTCAGAAAAAACAACTGAAAACTGTAGAACAAAGAGGAATCGCTTCTCTTCTTGTATATGTTGTACATTTTACAAAAGTATTGTCGCCACTTTAGACATTTCGTATATATACTCCTAAAGTAGCATTAAACAAAACTTATTTTTTGTACCACTTTGCCATTTTGCAGCTGACAATGCCTGTTTTTGACCATCTCCTACTCTATATTTAGAGAAAAAAAAAATATTTCCTCCGTTCCCAAAAGATTGTCGAGAGAGTATGGAAATGTGTAATTATTATGGGGTTGAAGGGGTAAGATGGTAAAATGAATATGCATAAAAACTTAAAAGAATAAAGCAAAGTGAGCAGAGCATAAAAAACAACTTTAAATAAAAAGTGAGTAGAACAATAAAGAATAGAGAGAGTATAATTTATGCGAAGTAATTGTTTTTGGTAATATAAATTACTCAGAATAGTATTGCATCAGAGACCGAGCAAAATTACAAATGGAACAATCTTCTAAATATAGACGGATAGGATTTATACAATATTTTACCTTTTGGTTTAGTCCTATGAAAAAAGAGATAAAGTTGGCAGAAGAACTAAAACATGTATGTCAAGTTTACATGAAAACAACCCAAAGAAACATAAGAAATCCCAACAGATCAATCTTTTTTTCTCTTCTCTTTTTATTCTTGAGTACCTTTTTCAATCTTTTATGCCACCTTAACTTAGCTTGTGATTTCCAAATTCCCAACTAATACAATTGCCTCCTCTTTCAAGTTTTGCTTATATTCCTTTCCTCTTCTCCTTTCTCTCCCTTTTTCAGCTAGGAAAAGCACTGGATTCCATCAATATTCTCACTGCACACCTTATAATAAATGACGCCGAGTATGCCATACTCCCCTTTGCACAAACATCATTACGGTTTCCATTATTTCGTAAGACTCTGCTGCTCGTGCTTCTGCTGCTGTTGCTGCCGCCCCTGCTGCTGTTGCACCATTCTTATAAGTTTAACCAACTTAGCCAAATATCTTTCAGATTGGGGAATTTACCGGAGAGCTCAAGAAGATGGTTTCCGTGCGTTTCCATTGCTTACCGATTCTCTTCCTAGTACTTCTATCAGGTGATTCATCTGATTTCATTAGTTATGTTGCTCATATAAACTGTAGTACTGAATATCTTCTGATAAGTCATATCAGGTAAACGAATAGATAATTCGTACTAGGAACACGAATAAATTTCTTTTAGGAGACAATGATTCAAATTTTAATGTCATATAGAAGGATAACCACTAACCACTTCACAAAATATAAGAAAGCAGAACCAGAAGAAAAGATAATTTTATATGTTTTCTAACCTGTACAAACATCTCTTTTTTCATTAAAATAAAGAGACGAGCAAAACCAATCATGGATAGCTTAATATTAATGCTTCAAGGTGACCTTTAAGATGACTGTATGCAAGTTCCTAGCTTCAACCAAGAAATTAAGAAGGGTCAAAGGGAGGATTGATGAAAACTTACAAATTTACAAACGCTTTCAGGGTCAAGTGCTGAAGTAACAAAGCGATTCCTGATATATGACACTTATCCAACAAAGATCATGCATGGAACATATCCAACAACAATTATGCACGACACATATCCGACAAACATTCCACCTGACAATCCAACAGGAGATACAGGAGATGTTCCAACTTTTAATCCAACTCCCACCACACCGACAACCACTCCCACCACAACCCCACCACTTACACCATCCACAAACCCACCTAATATGCCAACAACACCCCCAACTACCACGCCGACCACACCAATGAATCCTACACCGCCATCAGGAGGGGGAGGAGATGCAGGTGGGGGAGTTGGAGGAGGAGATGGAGGTGGGGGAGTTGGAGGAGGAGATGGAGGATTTGGAGGAGGAGGAGGAGATGGAGGAGGTGCTGGAGGTGGAGGAGATGGAGGCGGAGGAGGTGTTGGAGGTGGAGGTGTTGGAGGCGGAGGAGCAGGTGGAGGTGTTGGAGGCGGAGGAGCAGGTGGAGGAGCAGGAGGAGGGGGAGGAGGAGGAGGATCTTGGTGTGTAGCAAAACCCGGTGCTTCAGAAAAGGCTTTACAAGTTGGTTTGGACTATGCATGTGGATATGGGGGAGCTGACTGCTCTGCGATTCAACCAGGAGGAAGCTGTGCCAGTCCAGATACAGTAAAAGACCATGCTTCTTATGCTTACAATAGCTATTATCAGAAAAACCCAGCTCCAACCAGCTGTGATTTCGGAGGAACTGCCCAGATTGTCTCTACAGATCCAAGTAAGTGTACATCTGAGGTTACAAGTGAAATCTGAGAATCTGTACATTACTTACTAGTTTTGTTTCTAGAGATGAGTTTCAAAATGAGAACCTGAAAGAAATGTAAAGAATAACACGCATTCCAACTTATGATATCTGATAATCAATGCTGTAAATGAATGATCCCATATCTTCTTCCTATTGCAGGTACTGGAAATTGTCACTACTCATCATCAAAAGGATCAACAAGGTAAGCATTCAAAAGTTGTTTTCAATTCATTTATAATTTCTTATGCAGAAGCATAACTGTAATTTGTGTACTTGTTACAGCACAACACCACCAACTTCAACAACTCCCCCAACTTCATCTATGGATTCACCACCAACATCATTCAGTCCACCAAGTCCATCACTCGGAAATTTTCCAGGACCACCTCTCGGTGGAGCATCGGTTTATGGGCCAGAACCTACAGGAAGCCCTAACATGGCTTCTGCAACTTCTGAGCAGTGGATTATCTTCTTTTGCTCAACAAGCATATTTATGTACATTCTACTAGCAAACAATTAATGAAGAGATGCAGAAGGCAATCACTTTTTCCCAGCAAGAAGCAGTACATGCCGGCTTCACTGCACCATGGTGAACTTGTTAGGAGGCACTACTTGACAAATGAACTTTCAGCTTTCAGGTCCTCCTTACCGCCGGCCAGGAGACTCCGTCACTCCTCACATAATACATAGTTCTTGTTAGGCTGAGTTGTTGCGCTATAGGCTTACATCAGTATTATAGTAAATTATACTTGTAGAAATTTACAGTTCAATGTCAACCAGCAATAATAATTAGGATGTTCTATATTTTACAGCAATGAATGATACAAAGTCTTGCAGCTCAAAATATTACTTACACAAAAGTACTGCAACATAGAACAACTCATATTGTCTCGTTGTGATAGAAAGACAGATTGTAAACACAAACGTTAAAACAGAAGGACCAAAAAAATAACTCAAAATGTCTTGATCAAAGGAGATTTCCATACATGTAACAAAAGCCCTTAGATTGCATATACCATATAATAGGTTCGGGAAGAACTTATCAGAAAGAAAAGGCAAGGTAGAGCAGCACTAGATAAGGTTTGTTAGCATTGCAAAATGATTAACCACATGAGGATTCTAGCCTTTGACTTCCACAAATCACTCCATAAGTCAAGAGCACAGGATCTCTCAATGAGTCCCAAGACTCCCAACTACAGTTTAGTATCATCCATCCTCCAAGGACAAGATAAGTTGCATAGGCAATGAACAATTAGGAATATTACCTTCCTTGGTGACTGGAAGACATAATCAATATTTTGCATATGAAAAATGTAGAAACAGTGAGAAAAGAACCTTTATTTCATAAAATATACCAACAAAAGTAGTCCCAATAAAATTCAATTGTCTGGCATATACAACAGAAGTTTTGAAATGCACTCTCAAATCTCACCTAATTATTAACTTTTTTTCAATGATAAGCATCAAGTCGACAAATTTGGTCTACACCAGAATCAAATTAATAGCAGGCATGGGACAATGGTGATACAAACGATGGCTAAAGTTGCAACAATAGAACCTTGCTCAAATGATTTCTGCAGACCTCCAGCTCTTGTAAAATGCTGGAATGCCAAATAGGCTGCAATTACTAAAGATATAATGGCGCCTGCCTGTGTCCCCCTGCCAACAAAAGGATCAAAAAACTTGTGAATGGGATGTCATAAATAATAAAAAAATAAATAAATAAAATCAAAGATTCAAGGCTATGATACCTTAGGTTCATTGCTCGAAGTGGAGCAACTATTACCAAAACCAGTGTGATGAAAGGGAGTTCCAGTTCACCTATAAAACAAAGTAAATGAGTTAGGTAATAACAAGCATGGACATGATTATCAAATGTTGGATTATTCTCAAAGTATATACCACCTCCGCTTCTTATTATGTGCAACAAAGGAATATTTTATGTATCACAAATAATACTCCTTTGTTGCACATAATAAGAAATGGAGGTAGTATGTAGTATCAACTTTCTATAGTTTAATTTCTTAAATAGAAATGAGTAATTGAAAATATCAATGGTCAAAGTTGTGCAGTTGCAAGCATGAAAGTTAAATTGATGCAAGCTTTCAACACAGAGGAAGTATACCATATGTTGGATTGGTATGGAAAAGGGAGCGGGTGAGGATATGGGTAGCACAAGTCAAATAGGAAGACCAGAAAAGGAAACCAACTTAGCATGATATGGTACAAGTTACAGATGACGATACAAAAAAGATCCAGGAGATTAATTCAAAACTAAAAAGATTTTTTATTTTTTTTATTAATTTGTTTGATGGGGAATATTTTATTTTATTTATTTTTTTTTTGGTGAAAATGGGGAAACTTAAATGGACTTAAATATCAGCATTTGGGGATAGGGAGATCACATGCCATTGAACCATCATACTACTAACATTTGCTTACTAACTATAATTGGATGCTATTACAGGGCTGAGAATAATTAGTCATTTCATTTTAAGAGAACAAGATAACAATTGCTTTTAGCCTTCACCTGGAAGAGAGAAGAAGAGGCGAACAAGGAGGGCTAGAGTAGCAGCCCAAGCACCATATTCTCCCCTGAAAATTAAAGACAATTCATAAATCGTAAAATTCATGAAGCAAAGAAAGTTTTTTCTAAACAATTTCAAAAATAAACACCAAGTGTTCAAAGTTGTGAATAAAAAAAACAGAGAAAGACTAGTTTCAAGAACTTACTGCATCCATGAGATGACACTAGCGGGTGCCTGTAAAGCAAAAAAAGGCGCAAGAAAAGACCTATTTATTGCGGTTCCCTTCACGAACATGAGAATTCTGACCATACAGTATAGAATGATTAGGTGAGCTGTGCTCTAACAAATAAAATAAACAACGATTGAATTGTGTTCTTCACTGAAAAAAATTGAGATTGAAGAAAACATGTATGACAGACAAATAAAAGTGTACAAAATAAGAAGGATTTTAAACAATAGTAACAATCTGGAGCACAAGTCAGCAAAGAAACCAAAATCAGACTTCATAAAGATAAAATCAAAAATCTGACCCATTGGAAAACAGCTTGAAATTAAAGTCTCTAAAGTCTTCCAAAATTGCAATTGACCTCTAGGGCTCAAGGGTCCTCACAAGAGTAAGCTTGCGGAATGATCAATATGTCAATTTGTAAGTACAATGGGTTGTCTAACTGTTGAATCTTTTGTGTATTATTTACCAATACATTTAGGAAGCACATAAATTAACTATCATTGGAACAGAACATGTTTAAGACTGAGCACTTCATATTGCGACAGAATTCACCATGGAAAGAAATATATACATATAAATTAAGCCAAAATTAGAAAGAAATGTTTCAGACAATCACCAAATGAACTCTTCAACCATGTTCAATGCATCAAACTGAGGGGATATATAAGAAACCAAGCATCAGAATTCACAAGAAAACTCTGTGTTACTGTGAAAAATAAGTTTCACATTTCCTACGAGTACAACATGGTCATTATATTATTCTATTTGATGGGAAAATCTGGTTCATTTCTACAATTGAGAATAGGTAAAATGGATAAGTAGTTTGAGGTAGGTTATGCACTAGTTTCAGACAATTTACATTTCCTATGAATGTTAAAGAGTACATGTAGTCTGCTATTTAGACGCTTAGGCCCATGCTACCTTGAACTAGCCTCCCCACGGATGCTCAATTTCAACTCATTCTAAAATAGTGCATAATTACCTCAAACTGGGCAGGCTCGGGTCAGTGAGCTTATTTTTTCTGTAAGCAGATTCCAGTACTAGCCCACCAAAAATTCTACCACCTACTTTATTTGTAGAGCTTGAAACTATCTTTTAAATGAATATTGAAACCATTTACGATTACCAAAACACAATTCATGATAAAAAACAACATTCCAAAATATCACAAATCCCCTATGTCATCTTTCTACTCCATATATTCTTCACACCTTGTCCCCTTATCATACTTGCATTCTAAGGCATAAAAGCTCAAACAACCTCTTAACATTTACGAAGTAGTACTATACGTACACTAGTTTGTGATTTTGCATAAATTACTGAGTACTTCAAATTCTCAAGTATTTGTATTTGAAACTCCAAATACCATGTAGTACTTGTACAGTTGTATTTTATTAGTTTTGTCATTGCTATAAAATTATGTTCACTCCAATTTATCAAAGAAATATACCTTCCCTTCTTTTTAAAGTAGCCAATTTTCTCAAGCTCTCCTGCCTCTAGTACTCAATCATTTAAGATACTACCTCCGTTAACTTTTAGTTACAACTTTAGAATATTTTATATCTTACAAATAATATCCCAAAATTACAACTAAAGTTAATGGAGGTAGTAATTACTGACAACACATTAGTTTAAGATGGAATATGAATTCGACAAACCAAATTTGCCAGATTAATCGTGTCTTGCAGACTTGCAGTTGCCTATTTTAGCAGTAATTACGAAATTAAATCTCGTTAATTGACATTAACAAGCCTATTATCAATGCCTTACTATTACAATTGATCATGTCAAAAAAAAAAAAAAAAGGTCACTCGTCATACAGATTTAGTCAATAATTAAGTTTAACAGCAAACAAAACCTGTAATTTCACTAATATGAATCTCAGATGATTTTGCTACATATTATGGAGTATTAATTAATTTAATGAATTTAAATCCTCCAATTTCAAACAATAACAATAATAATAATCCTCTATAAAAAGAAAAAAAAAACTTGAAAAATGAAAGAATTAAATCAAGTAAAGAAAGAAGATTACGCAGTGGAAACAGCAGAAATCAATGGAAGATTTCGAGGAGAAACAATCGAAGAATAAGAATTATAAACCACCATTGACGATCGCCGGCTCCTTTGCTTCGGCATCAGACTTTGCTGATTCAGTGATAATCTATACACATTTTTAAATTTAATCATTAATATTACAAAGTAATATTATTATTATTATTATATAATTGATTTCAATTAGTTACTCCGTAAATGTTAATCATGAAAATCAAAATAACTTTTAGTGACGGAGGGAGTATTATTAGTGAATATGTAAAGTGTCCTTTCAGAGAGTGGTTGAAATTACCTGAGAGGATTAAAGGTGACGGAGGAAGAAGGGCGAAGAAGGGGGAGTTGATGGAGAGGAGGAGAGGAGAGAGATTTGGTGGCAGCCAAAGGACGAAGAGAGCAGGAGAGAGAAAGACATTGTGACTGCATTTTTGTTTGATGATTTTTGTTTCTTGCTTCTGAATTTCTGAATATTTGTGTATGAACTTTTGAAGTTATATATTATGAGTTTATGAAGAGAATGAAGAGCGAAGGAGGTGGCGGAATGGCGGGAGTGAAAACCACTTGGCACTTCCTTCGATGTATGAGAGTGTGTCAAATAATGGCATGTGATTTGTGAGGTGACAAGATCCGATTATATTGATGTCTAAATTATCTTTGTATTTTTGGAAAGTTTGTGAGATATTTTTGATATGTTGGAAATTATTTTTATGGCGAAATTAGATAGTATGTGCCTTTTTTTTTAAAAAAATAAAATAGAATTTGTGTGGGTGTAAAAAAAGCAATTATATGTGGGTATGAAATCTATGAATATTGAATATGATGGAAAATAAAAGGTACTCCCTCCATCCCCTTTTTACATTCATGTTTGTAAAATTACATGGAAATTAAGGAACTAAGAATAAAACAAATAACAATAAAAAAAACACAATAGGAAGTACAAAACATTAAATGATGTCTTTGAGTAAAACAAAGATAAATTAATATTTAATAATGCCATGGCGTTAATCCTTTGCAAAAAAAAAAAAGGACCAATAACATGCTCCTATTGAAAAATTAAGAACCAATCATATTCATCTAGATTTAGGCCCTGTTTGGTTCACCTTAAAAAAATAATATTAAGTAAAAATAATTTCAATTCAGTTAAAATAAGTTCAGTTCGGTAAAATTAATTTCAGTTCAGTAAAAATAATTTCAGTTCAGTAAAAATAAGTTCAGTTCAGTATAATTCAGTTTTCTTAAAGAAGAATTATAATAGAAAATCAGTAAAAATAATTTCAGTTCAATAAAATTAATTTAAGTTCAGTAAAAATAATTTCAGTTCAGTAAAATTAAGTTCAGTTCAGTAAAATAAGTTCAGTTCAGTAAAAATAATTTCAGTTCAGCAAAATTAAGGTGAATCAAACAGGGCCTTAGGAGTGAGAATAGGAAAGTAAGAGAGAGAAAATAAGACTGAACATTAATTACATAACAGAAAAAGAGGGATAATTTGGGATATTTAGAAAAACAATACTTACTAAAAAAGGAAAGGAGGAATGTAATTTTGAAACACCCAAAAAGGAAAGTAGAAATGTAAAAAAGGGACGGAGGGAATAAAACAAATTAATCTCTATGATAAAAGGTAAAACTTGTGAATGGGATGTCATAAATAAAAATAAATAAAAACTAAAATCAAATATTAAGGCTATGATACCTTAGGTTCAATTAGGGGTGTCAATTCGAATGATCGGATCGGGTCTAATATGGTCGGGTCAGGTCTGGTCAATTTTTAAAGTTAAGTCATACAAAATTGTTATGTCCACGCGAGTCCAAATCCGAATCGAATATTTTTCTGATCGTTTTCAGATTGAGTCGGGTCGGGTGTGCTTTTGATACCTCTAGGTTCAATGCTTGAAGTGGAGCAACAATTACTAAAACCAATGTGATGAAAGGGAATTCCAGTTCACCTAGAAAACATACAGATGAGTTAAGTACTAACAAGTATGGACATGATTATCAAATGTTATTATGAAAAATGTTGGAATATTCTCGAACTACTACATACAAGTATTAACTTCATGTAGTTTTCTTTTTTAAAAAAGAATTTGAGTAAATGAAAATATCGATGGTCAAAGTTGTGTGTTGGGTGTGTGAATAGTCATTGATGCAAGCTTTTAACAATGGAGGAAGTTGGAAGTATACCATATGTTGGATTGGCATGGACAAGGGAGCAGATGAGGTGGCATAAGCCATATCGAAAGACCAGAAAGGGAAGCTTACTTAGCATGATATGGTACAAGTTATAGATGACGAAAACAAACAGATCAAGGAGATGCACTAAAAACTTAAAGAATTTTTATATTAATTTGTTTTTGATAGGAATACTTAAATGGACACGGATTTCATATTTAAAAATAGGGAGATCACATGCCATTTGAAAAGGGATTACGTATGTGCTTTCTAAGTTTGCGACTAACGAAAATTAATAGCAATAAAGACAGAAAAACAAGTAATAAACGAGACATGGAGAATTTACCGTGAGAAACCCAAGAATTGGGAGAAAAACCCACCAATCTACTATGGAGTAACAATTTGATGAAGAACAATGTAGTTTACAAGCTTTCAATCTCCATGAAAGCTCCGTCCCCAAGCTCACCCTCTCAAACACCAAAACCCTAAGTGTTTGGGTTTACATGAAGCTTTCTCTCTCTACATCTTTGCCCTCATCCTATTACGCTCTCTACAACGACAAAATAAGAGTATATATAGTGCAAGAAGATCAATGGCTACGATTACATCCCAAGCGAAATAAAAGAAATCGCGTCGCTGAACAGGGGCTCAATGGTTCGACTGAACGTACCCAGAGTTCGGTCAAACCTGGGGTGGTTCGGTCAAACCACTTCCTAGGTTCGACTGAACCTACACTAGAAATCAAAGAGCTCCAGGGTCTGCCTCAAAAACAAGGTTCGACCGAACTTTTCTACAATTTGGTCGAACTCTCGCATTGCGCGGACATCTCTTCTTAAAACATCCATAACTCCCTTGATTCTTAACCAAATGGAGCTTATGACTAGTCGTTGGAAAGATCTTGAGACAATTTATCACCTCCAACCTTGAATTATCTCAATATCATTCCTATATATTGAGATATGCTCATTTGAAGTCAGCCCTTTGCCATCCACCATTGCTTAACACCAAGCATTAGTCCATAGCTTAAACTCCTAAGCTATGCACCCCCTTAGCCTCCTTGAACCGTTCTCCACACTTCTCAAATTAAACCCAACACCATTAAGTCATCATACTACTAATATATGCTTACTAAATGTAATTGAATGCTATTACAGGGCTAAGAAAAATTAGTCATTTCATTTTATTTTTTAACCCTATAGAGTGAAGAAGAGAACAAGGTAACCATTGCTTTCAGCTTCACCTGGAAGAGAGAAAAAGAAGCGAACAAGGAGGTCTAGAATAGCTGCCCAAGCACCATATTCTCCCTTGAAAATCAAAGACCATTCTTATATTGTAAATGTCATGAAGCAAAGTATTTTTTTTCCTAACAATTTCATAAAGTTGCAATTGACCTCCAGGGCTAAAGGGTTCCCAAAAGAGTAAGCTTGTGGATGATCAATACATCAATTTGCAAGTACAATGGGTTGTCTATCTATTGAATCTACTGTATGTGTAAAGTGTAATATTTATATTTAGTTAGCATATAAATTAACTGTCATTGGAACAGAGCATGTTCACACTGAGCAGGGGTGTAGACACCCATTTGTGTCTCCTCAAAACCAAACCTAGTGATGAATACCTTTCATGTCATTTGATTATCGAATAAAGCGAAAGTGTGAAAAGTCTAGTGATGAAGATGTTTTTATTAAAATATCTTTTCTTTCTGTTTTTGAAAATATTTTTTTTCTTACCCTATTTTTGAAAAATGTGCATTCCAGTTTAGTTTGGTCCATGATATGGGTCCAATAATGGTGTGGTTGGATGGGATTTGAAAAGACCTTTCCAACGATATATTATAAGCCCAATTCCGATGAATAATGAGGAAGTTATGGCCAAAATACTAAACTGGGCCTGATTTGGTTTTTATATGTGTAGGCGTCGCTCGAAGTGCGCCTACGTAAAAAGGCATGTGGTGAATATTCTTGGCACTCATAGGAAGTAGGAATTGACATAATACGATTAGGGACAAGAAAAGTAGGGAGCCGCCAACAAGTTTTTAAGGAACTTGTAAACCGTTCACGGATCATAAAAAGGCAACCACGATAAGGGACAACGATAGGCAACAACGATTGACCCGTGAAGGTTACACCCCATTCATAATCCATGAGATTACTAACTCCATATGGTTCGGAACCACGAAAGGAGGATCGGGGATGATGGTACGAAGTGAGTCATGGAGTCACATTCGCCCGTATTGGCCTCTACTCGATTCTTATATTGAAAAGCATTCCTGTGATCTCAAAGGCATACAAACAATAATTCAATTCGCTCCAAACTATTATTTAACTAAATTGGTTTAATATTAATGCACACATAATTCTAAAATATTGTGATCACTTCAATTAATAATAAGATTAAAAGGATCCTAAACCGGTTGTCCAAATTATCTTATTAGGCGTGATTTTCAATTACATATTCCCTTTAAACATGCAATATGGTGATCAATAATAGAATAGCATTAATATTAATACCAATTCAATCACAATTCCAACAACATAAATTCGTTAGAAAAATAATAAAAATAAAAGGAGCATGACTCTTACTTTGATTCTGTTTGTTTGCAACTACAAAATAATAAACGAGTTAGTAACTTCAAGGAAATAATAAAACGACGATTAAATTAAATTAAATAAAATAAAGTTGATTTTGGGACCAAACCCTCAAACAGTTCTACCTTTCACGCCTTGGTTTAAGGACAGAACCTCGAGTAAAATATGTACTCCTTTGAATACTTGAAGAAGGAATTTTGAAGTAGAGAAGGGTAGTCTAGTGTTTAGGCTAAAGCATAGAAGAGAGAAAATAAAATAATAAAATTACTCGGTGCCCCGTTCATCAGAAATGAGGGGGTATTTATAGGGAAAATGTGCTGAGGGAGCACACAGAACCCTAAAATGATAAAAACCCTAAAAAAGTATCCCGTGACACGGTTAAACTGTACCGTGACACGGGAAGCTCCACCGTCAGACGGTTCACTTTCCCGTGACACGGTACATTTTTGGTGTGACGCGGGAAATTTTCAGAAAACGGGATAAAAAACGCGTTAAGGGTTTACGCGGAAAAGACACGGAATGTCCCGTGTCACGGCAGATCTCCCGTGTCACGGGAAGTCCCACCGTCAGACGGAAAGGATTCCCGTGACACGGTAGGTACCTGCCGTGGCGCGGGAAATTCCAGCTTGTTTTTCCGTTTAAATACATTTTTAACCCTAATTTCCTTCGGCATTTTAAGTGCCGATTGATAATTTCGGGCCTTTTCTGACTTTTTATTATTCGGGCTAAAATAAGAAAATAATTAAATAAAAATAAATAAAGGGTTTGGGCCAAAAATAAATAATAAAACAATAAAATAAAAAAGGTTTGGGCTAAAAATTAATTAATAAGTTTGGGCTGAAATCAAAACTATGCTTTTACCAAACATCAAGACTAATCCATGGACTGTTCAAAAATATGAATAAAATACGATTTTTTAAGCACTCTCGGGATTAAATATTAAATCCGATC